ACGAGTGGTTAATGATAAGATGGGGACTTAAAGAAGTTCACACTCTTAATTTAATGAACATGGGATGAGAAATTTGAAGTGGTCCTATATATTATCTTTCACCACTATATATGTATATTTCAACGCCTAGAAGCTATAACTTTCAAGAGAGAATCAAGTGGATGATGACCTTATCACATGTAGTCAATGAAGCTTGCAGTTCTTGTGTCACTGATCATGGAAAGGAGATATGGAAATAAATGAATGAATTTAATGAAATGATAAAAAAAAAAAGACCATTTTTTATCTTGAAACAACACTGAATGATAAAACATCTTGAAAAGACGATCTAATCCGTAAATCTAAAAACGTTAATATCTTGAGAAAAGGAATTCAACTTTAGAAACGACTATATCTTTAATTAAAAAAAAAAAAAAAAAAAAAAAAAAAAAAAAAAAAAAAAAAGAAGAAGAAGCCAGTGCCCAAAGGAACGACATCAACTATAGAAGGCAAGTTTGAAACAACGACATACTCCTTTTAAAATTTTAACGATGGAATGTTCGAGAAACAACAAAATTTATGAAACGGAATATATATATATATATATATATATATAGGACAGTTTCATGCTACAAGCGGGCGATGGAGTCGGGGGCCAGCGTCGAATTCTTAGAACGACATTGTCTTGAGAAAACGACATGATCTTTTTAAAGCGACAATATTTCAAGACCTCCCGAGGAAGCGAATATCGCTTGAAGCGATTGCCGTGAGAAAACGAGATCACGGGACAAGAGTCGAGACATAAGAACTACATATTTTTCTTTCTTTTTTTTTTTTTTTTGAGAAAGAAAAATATTGAAAGACGACGCATCTAAAGACAAATATTAATATTATCTTTAAAAATATGTTCGTGTTTTCTTGATGCGATTTTGAATGTTCTTCAATTTACAATGCGGGGGAAGTACTAATAAGTCCTGTGCACTTCAAATCTAATCTCCAATATAAATACCAATGTTAATGATATATTTGACACGAAAATGACATATTTAATATGTTATTTCTTTTGGTACTTTAATACGCAATATGTTTTCCCTACATACTACAATCAAGCTCTAACAAATTAATTTATTCTACATTAGATATGGATCATGAAACTTTTGCTCCATGCCGTCTAAGAACTTGTTTAGGAACATAAAACAAATGTACTTTATAAATTAGAGGGGATAAAAAAAAAGGCCTAGCGCATTGTAGTAGTTGGAGGTTTTTCATTACTGTCCACGAGCAATGGCAAATTATTCCTCGTTTATTTCACCGATTCGAATTTAGAATTCGAGTTTTGCTACAGTAAAAAACTCTAAAAAACAGTCACATTTAACTTTTTTACTACAGTAAAAATTTCTCAAATAAAGTCACATCTCAACTCGAATCGACGAACTAAACAAACCCTTAGTATTACTTTATATCTCACTATTTGTCACAATAAAGGTAGTTTAATTAAACTGATTTAGTATATTCTCTGCGGAAAAATTAAATAAAAAACAATCAGGTGGTGATCATGAGTTTTTTTTTTTTTTTTGGAAAACCGATCATGGTGAGCATAAATTGAGTGAACTTGTGTGTTCACAGAGAGAAAAGGGTACTTTTTTTTTTTTTAGGACCAAAATAAAATAAAGTGGACAACTTGAATTTACTGGTTGATAAAAGCGGGAGAAAGAAGTAATTAATGGACATCAGAATTGAGAGGCAGAAAAAATTACTTTTACAATTAATCTTTGTTTATCCTACAAATTAATCTTTCTTGTTGTTATTGATTCAAGTTGGTCATTAAGTGCAAAAGATATTTTGTGTAGGATAAGTAAGCTTAGGAAATCTTTTCTAGCGAATGTTTGAGGATCCGAGTTTCTTTAAGAGAGAGAGAGAGAGTTAGAGAGGGAGAGCGAGAAGGTCCTTAGAAATCAGAGGTTGGCCGAAGCTCTGGTACTATCTCTGAGCGCGTCACCAGACTTTCGGCAGCGAAATTTGATCCTCCGACTCAACTCGTTGCGGGCTTCTCATTGGTGGTGGTAGTGTACGGTGTGGTGGTTTCATTTAGGCATATCTCAACTGGTTAGGAGCTTGGAAGCCGAATGAACTGTCTCTTTTCTCATGAGAGTTTTTCGTTTGGTGGCTGAAATCTCTTTGCTGGCTGTCTTCCTTGATGGTCCTTTGGCCGGATGCCCTTCACCTTAGGCTTATACCGGCGGTGGTCGGAAGTTTTTGTATTTTTGTATCTTTTATCTTTGTAATAAGGTTGGTGGTTTCCACACTCAACTCTCATTTGGTTTGTTATTTTTTGTTAGATTTAGGTGTTCGGCCTAATGCCGATAGGGTGGTCTTAGTCCGGCTATAATTTTTTTTATGCCGTATAGATTCTCTTTTTCTGTGGGTTTTGATGATCTGCTCCTCCAGTGCTCGACAGCTTATATTGAAGAAAGGATTTTTCTCTAATCGAACTTTCAGTCCGCTTGTTGTTAGTGTGCCGAAGTATTTTTCCAATTTCGAGGTACAGGCGTGTATTTATACTTTTTGATGGATTACCATTGTACTTTATTAGTATTTTAATGAAATACAATTTTTCCTTAAAAAAAAAAAGAGAGAAGATATTTTGTAATCCGAAATAAATGAAACCGACAAAGATATATCATTCCTGAACGAGATTTATTTCTACGAACGACGGCATATAGAGAAAATGACGATAAGTTCTAAGAACGTTATATATTCTGCCTTTACAACATTTCAAGAAATAGTCAACATAGTGTAAAACGACATATACTGTTGCACATGGCAAAATTGCAATAAAACGACGATTACATTGATGGTTGAACACGACATCATCTTCAAAAACGATAAAAGTATTTGATAAAACCACATTAACTTTTGAAAACGGCACGATCTTAAGAAGATCGCGTAATACATTCTCTCCGTCTTCTTTTCCTTTATTTATTTATTTATTTTTTTAGAGTCAGGAGCTATTACCATATAAAGTTTCAAAGTACAATAACAGTTTCTATATAAGTTTCAAGTACAATAACAGTTCTATATAAGTTTCAAGTACAATAACAGTTTCTATAAGTGATAGATTTTTCTAATTAAGGAGAATTTTACGATTGGGGATGAATTTCTACCATCAAATCAAAACTTAACATTGAATATGTGCACCGGAACTATTGTAGACCACATTGCACATGAGTTCACCTATATTAAGAGACTTTTCAAAAATAATAATAATAATTATTATTATTCTTTGTTTCTGACTGAGCTCGCAACGAAGCTGGGCTCCAATTGTTGCCACTCCCCGGCTAAACATGGAGTCGTTTTTCCTTTGTCGCCACGATCTGCCGCTTTTCCGCCAACGCAGGTGTAGCAATCCATTAGGCTCCCACCAATCAACTCCGCCTTCGCCGCATCGCCGCCCAAACCTCCCATCCCAACCAACAGAGCTCATGCCTCCGGTTGTCGCCGCCGTCGATGTCTCTGCCAAATCGCGCTCATGCATGCTGCTGTCGTCGCCGTCATGCTAGGAGCCGGAGTATGGTCGGGGCAACGGCACCGGAGGAGAAGACGGAGCTCGAGATTGGTTTTTCTTTTTTTTCCCCTTTTTTTTCCTCCATTGTTTAGGCTGTTTTACCATATATGCAGGCTTATTTTTCTTTTTATGTGCCCACTCGCCACAACCACCAGATCAAGACTTAATTATCACCCGGCCGATAAGGAAAAAATACAACCGCCTACCGTAGATTTTTCTTTATATTAACAGCAAAAAAAGTCAAAAGATAGCTACATTATTTGCTTCCCAAAACACGTGATTGACTTCACTTTTAGGAAAAAAGGGAAAAAAAAATATAATAAGCTACATACAAACCAAGCACCAAACGCATTACCACCAAAATTATTAGGTCATGATTTAAGTTTTGATTTAAACTATTTGTGAAAGAACTATTAGTGAAAATTTTTTTAATTCAAATTATTTATGAGAGAAAAATATTATAGTAGAATTATGATTTGAGTTTTGAATATATATATTAAACAATTTCATGTTCAAAGCTTGAACTTTTATCAATGCGTCAGGCACTATTTCGGGGAGATTTTAGTCTTACATCCCTAATTCAAACCAAACTTAAAATAGGGGCTTTAGCTTCAGCCGCACGAACCACAAAAGCAGTAAAGCACCATCTAACTTTATTTTAGTGAACGTTTTCTTATAAATGAGATTTATATAGCAAGTCCTGAAAAATGAATTACTTAGTTTTTAACTATTAAATTTGTACAAAACTATCTATTTTATATACATTTTATCTAATGTAATTGATCAGATCAGAACAGTCACAAATTGACTATACCAATAGAGCCTCCCTATCAGTTCCACAGAAAGACTCCTTTTTAGTAAACGTTTTTCTTTTCTTAAATTTACAAAAAGCGTTTTTTACTTTTTTTTTTATTTTTTTTTTATAGATTTTCTCCGATACGTTAACATATCGATAAGTAGATTTTATGCCTATTAAATATATATAAAACCACATAAAAATTAAAAAATATATAAATATAACAATTAAAAAAAATCTAATCTATCAAAACGTACCAAAAAATCTCCTTTTTTTTTCCTCTCTATTTGAGTCATCTTACTCTCTTACGTGTTTTTTTTTTTTTTTTAAAAGTGTTAGGTGGAATGGAACGTGGAAACGCAAACTTATGTGACGTTTGGTAAGGAGATTCGTACCCTGATTTGAATCATGATTCATGATTCGTTATAGTATTTTATTTCATAAAAAATACACATAAATCAAAAATAATTCTAATATCATTATTCTAATTCATGAACCAAACGTTTCCTTATAGCAAAATAAAGTTTTGAGACAAAAGTACCCTCAAGAAAACACGTTTCTTTCGCTCAGAAGCAGGCAGTGATTTCCTCAAAAGGGTATTTTTGCAATAAGGCAAGATCCAAGAAAAACATAACATTTATATATATAATCGCCACTCAAGAGAAGACAGTGACAGGGTTTGACAAGAGAGCCGTTCATCGTACGAAGCCTTCTTCTCTTCTCTAGTTCGTATCGAAGGTAAATAACTCTTCTTTCTGATCTCAATTGCAAATCCCTTATTCGTTTTACATGATTTTTTGAGGGATTTTCTGTTTCGAATTTCATAGGTCTTCTAATAACTGTTTTTTTTTTTTTTTTGTTCGGAGATTTGTGATTGATATATTCAACTTGTTTGTGTGTTTTCAGTGAAAAAATGGCTTCAGATTCAAAGGTTCACGTTTTTGAAGAAGTGGCGAAGCACAACAAGACCAAGGATTGTTGGCTTATTATCTCTGGAAAGGTTAGATCTTTCTCGATTTTGTTTTCTTGGAAGAGGATTTTGTTTTTTGTTTTTTGAGATTCAATTTCTTTCTCAATTACTTTTTTTTGGAAGGTATGTGTGTGTGTGTGTGTGTGTGTTTGTGAGATTCAATTTCTAGATTGATTGTTTATGTTTCGTTTTGATTGCTGAGAAAAAGTGAAAATACACAGGGTGCGTTTGGTTTCGTTTCTAAAACGTTTTTTAAGGAGGAAAAAATGAAATTAAAAATGAAACAGCATTTGTTTAGAAAATGTTTTGAAAACAAAAATGAAAATAAAAACAGTAAAAATAATTTTTTTAAGAAATTTAGAAAACTTAAAAATTATTTTTACTGTTTTTATTAATAATATTCTAATATATTAATTAATAATTATAATTAAACACGATTTAATTCTTTTATCATATTCAAAATAATTTTATAAAAAATTAACCAAACGTAATTTTAAAATCGTTTTCAGAATAATTTTTAAAACAATTTTATTTTTATTTTTTATTGAAAATAAAATTATTTTAAAATTAATTCCAAACGCATTCAAAATTTTTAGCTCTTTTTTTTCCAATTTATAAGAGTTGGGCAAACTCTCTTTTTAGATTGAAGAAACTGCTGATACTAATTAAAAATCTAGAATAAAAAAACTGAAAATACCAAAGGCACTCGTCTCGTATTAAAACCTAAAAAACTGAAAATTTCTAATAAACCAAGGCACTCGTCCCATATTAAAACTATGAAAGGTTGATTGAATTTTCTTTTAATTTGGAGGAAAAATGATTTGCTCGCAATAGAATTTTAAAAAATAAAATAAAACTCTACCTTTTAGATTTTATCTCAACTTTTCCTTTTATGTTTTGAGGCCTCGTGTTCTCTTTACTTCATGTCAAATTGAATCTTTTTGGCACTGGGTTTCACTTGGATTTGTATCGCTTGAACAAATAGAATTTAATCAAAATTGAGCTCTGCGATTTTATATAAACTTTTCTCTTTTATGTTTCAAGCAAATGCCTTATGTTCTCTCACTCTTTTATCTCAAATTGAATATTTTTGGTATCGAGTTTTGGTGCAATTTTAAAAGGCTAATTTCTATTATTCAGGTGTATGATGTAACTACGTTTATGGATGATCATCCCGGAGGTGACGAAGTGCTGCTTTCCGCTACCGGTACCTCATTCATATTGCTTTGCTTGTATGGCTTTCAAGAACATTATTAAGAACCTTGGATGAAGACCCAATTTGGGGTTGATCTTGTTTGGGAATGTTTTGCAGGGAAAGATGCAACTAATGACTTTGAAGATGTGGGTCACAGTGACTCGGCCAGAGATATGATGAAGAAGTACTACATTGGCGAGATCGATTCGTCAACAGTTCCTCTAAAGCGGACTTACATTCCGCCGCAGCAAGCTCCGTATAACCCCGATAAGACGCCCGAATTCGTCATCAAGATTTTGCAGTTCTTAGTTCCCCTCCTAATCTTGGGTTTAGCCTTTGCTGTCCGGCACTTTACCAAGAAAGATGATTAGTCCAAAAACTGTCTACAAAAGGGCTAGTCTTTTTAAGTCTGGCAATTTCTTTGTTGTTACTTTCTATTTGTGCTTATTTGACCCTCTCATTGTGGGGAGTCCCTCAGAGTCTGTTAGTTTTTGTGCTTTTTTGTCCTTGTTTTATGGTGCTGATTGTGACTGCTCAAATTTTATGGACTGATAAGCAGAAGTACGCTCTGTTCCATTGTTCCCTCTCATAGTCTTTTCTTAATTTGGCGCAATTTATTGCAGCAGTTTCAAATCTTGGGTTGTTTAATTGTTAAATTCATGTCATGATTTAAATTATAATTTTATTATAATATTTTTTCTCATAAAAAATCTCAATTTAAATTCATGAATTAAATGTCCACGCATTTTTACACACACAACTCATTTATATGATTATATATCTACTTTGCTTATAAAGAGACTATAATTAACTTTTTTGAGCTCTTTTCCAAAGTGGTAAAAAAAAAATAATAATAAAATAAAAGACGTGTTATTGTTTTGATGGAGCAGTGGAAGTTTATGATTGTACCAACTCCCATACACGTTCTGTAATTTCAGATGCCGTCCCGTTATAAGCCACGAAATTATTTGTGGACGGCAAAGTTTGGTTGTATTTTCTTGTCCTAAAAAGCATGACAAAAAAAATTATGATCTCATTTACTTTACAGATTGAATTTTTAATTTGAGTTGAGATGTGATATTTTTTAAAATTTTTTACTGTAATAAAAAAAATTAAATATGACATTTTTTAAGAACTTTTTACTGTAAAAATTTAAAACTAAAAACTTAAATAAGTGAAATGAACGAGGTCACATCCTTTATTTTCCAATAATTCTTCGAATCCCAAAAGGCTTTCGTTACCTTTTCAGCTTTTACAATCACCCAAAAGTCATGAAAAAAAAAATCTTTATTTTTTACTATTTAAATTCAAGTCAACTGAAAAAGGGGGGGAAAAAAACCTAATAAACCACCGGCAGGGCAAGTATTTGCACCAGTTTATTCACGGTAAAATCGAATGGGGCAATTTATTTGTAATAATTCAATATAAAGTAGAGCAAAGCAAATATGATTATATGAATTGTTAAATTTTCATTTCAACCCCCACATTTCCTTTTAATTTAATATAATTGTGATGTGATTTAATAGTTCAAACTAATTTTTAATGGCTAGTTTTTTCCCGGGCATTTAGCCACTCAAATTACTTAAATATTAGTGATAAAATTATTTTAGTATCTTATATTATAGTAAAACATCCTATTAATATTCTGTATTTTTTATAATATTAGAAGATATTTTTAAGTTTTAAAAATAGTTTTTTAGTATCCTAAAATCGTTTTTTGAGACATAAAAAGTCCATATGACTTATCTATTAAATTAGTTAAAATTTAATTATAAAAAATATGTTTTAAAAAACAATTTTTGAGGGGTAAAAATATTTTTTTAAGATAAATATTTTTTAAGCATTTAAACTAACCTAAAGATCCTTCAAAAAAAAAAAAAAAAAGAAGAGAGAGAGAGAAAATCTGGCTTGCCAACCATGGCCCCTGCTTGCCGTCCCCGTTCATCCCCTCCCCCAAACACTCATTTCAGGGCCAAATCGGGAGAAAGTTCACGATAGTTCCAGGGTTTTGTAATCGGATTTTTTCATTTCAGAGGCTAAAGAAAATGGCGACCACGAATCCTTCTGATTACTTGGGAACGACGGAAAGGAGGACCGAAGCCTTAGTTTTTAAAGATTGGTAATAAGAAATCCATGTGGGTTGACAAGAAAAGGATAATCTAGTGGAAATAGTGACAATGTAATTCTGTGAAGTTCAAAATCCAAAGTATAAACCTCAAGGAGATGAGAGACAACGATGAGGTTTAGTCCGCAACCATGGAGAATGGCGGAAGGGGAAGGCGAAGGGAGCTTTTCTCAGGAAACAAAAATTGTGTTCCTTTTTCTTTTTTTGACATTATCCATACGTCAATATATTTTTAATTAAATTTTTTATCCATTAAATTTATATAAAAATATGTTAAAGTTAAGTTCACCGCATACTAAAAAATCTCTTTCTTTAAAAGAAATAAAACTTATTCTATTTTTAAAACATTTTTTAAAATTAAATTTTAATTATTTTAATAAAAGTGTAGTTTAGGACATCATTCATTTCACCGATTTGAATTTAAAATTTAAATTTTGTTATAGTAAAAAACTCTAAAAAACAGTCACAATTAATTTTTTTACTATAATAAAAAGCTCTCATATAAAGTCACATATCAACTTAAATTAAAATTTTGAATCAACGAATTAAACGGACCTTAGATATCTTATGTACTAAAAAATGTCCTTAAGGTAAAAAAAATGATTTTTAAAAACTTAAAAACACTTATTTAATATTAACAAAAATACAAGATACTAAAAATATATTTTTGTGTAATACTGTAACACAAAATACCAAAATGATTTTATACAAAATCTACTCCTGAATACATTTTAACAATAACAAACTATTAATATTGTAAGGCTTGATCTCATTTACAATGGTGGCTGACTTGGATGAGAAGATGATAAGCTCTCACATAACGTCACATCTTAACTCGAATTAAAAACTCGAATCAGCGAACTAAACGGGCCCTTAATTTGAGTTAAAATGTGTTTACATAAGATTTGAATGGTGATTAATTTGAATTTGTGTTTAGATGTGCACATTTTGAGTTATGATTTGAATTGAAAATATATTTGAGTTTGTATTTACATAGGTCAAAACTTAAATTTATATTTAGATAGTATTTTAATAAAAACTCAATGGTGATAAAAAATTTTAATAAGATATATAGATGGTGATTTATTTGTCTCTTTATAGTTAACACATAAAAAAATCATTTTAATCGGAATTAAAATAAAAAAATTATGATGTTTTTAAGAATAAAAAAAATATTATTCAATAACTTAAATTTGAGTTTAAAAATTCGAGTTGAAAGAGAAACTTAAACTCAGATTTTAACTCCAAACTCAAGTTAAAACTCAAATTAAAACTCAAATTTAAACTCAAATTTTACAAAAGAATATAAACTTAAATAAAATTATAACTTGAATTTAATTTTTTTTTTTGAGTTTAGATACAAATAAACTAAGCTTTTAAATTTTAAAAGTCATAATCATGAACTTGATTTAACCTCATGTCCCAAAAGGGCCATAAGTGTCTGTGATTCAATCTATTAAGATGGGTTGTAAAAAATTGACAGCTCACTTTGAGGCAAAAAAAAAATAAATCATGAAACCAGAGAAAATGTCAGATGATCTTGAAATTTGAATTAATCCATCCATCCATTCATTCATTCCGCGTCCTGAATATATTCAATTCTCTAGGACTTTTTTTCACTGATAAAGTAGGAAACAAGAATCTAGGGATAAATATAAAGCCAAGTAATTGATGGCTTTTCTCCATCCCAAATGGGTAGGCTAGTTGGTAAAACGAACCTCTACTGCCCGCGGCAATTCAGTGTTTGTTCAAGGGAGATCGTGTATACAAGAAGAAAAGCAGTGGAATAAAAAATCCAAAACACATTTGGACATTTTACCTCCCCTCAATGTTTGCCGCCACTGCTGAAATCTGTCCCGGCCACGCCTTTGGAGAGTGCTTATACTCAGGCCCCCTCGATAACGAAATCCCCGCGTAGAACCAGCAGAGCACAAGAAAGAACAAAGTTTGGAAATTAGCCAACAAAAATATGCAGTTATGAGAAAGATGTTTCTATCTTGTCATGGAGGGTCACCACCAAGTCATGAGCATCATCTAGGAGCTTCCACATATCGAGATGCCCAGACATGCTATTGCACTCCCTCAAGATCTCATCCATGCTGCTGTACTTCTCTATTATCAGTTTCCTTTTCTGCAACACTGAAGCTGCAATCGCGTAGAGTAACAAGTCTTCTGTTGGCGGGGCTCGTTGCCGTATCCTGCTCCAGGCAGATTTTCCAATTCCTGCCCTTATGGCTGCCTGATCAGCCCACATCACCTCCCAGAGGCATAATGTCTGCTCAAATGTCAATTCTCTCCTAAACAGCACCACCACCATCCTATAGACAAAAAAGCAATCCTCTGCCTGGAGTTTCTCCAAGTGACGGTAAAGGTGGGAGTCCTTGCTTTTAATAATTTTAGAAACAATATTCAGCTGCCTTCGTATTCCAACCTCATCGAGCCTGAAATTATGCCGGGCCTTCTTCATGAAACCCACGAAACACCAGAACGCCTCATGATCCTCGGTCATCACAGTAATTATAGGAGAAAGTAGATCACTCATTCCCTGGCAGTAACCAATTTCTGGGTCATATAGCGCATATGCTTCAAGAATTGCAACAAGTCGAGCAGCATGGACAATCCTGCAGGGCTCCAGGTGATCATAATCCTTCAAGCCAACAGCTTCAGCAGAGCAACGTGCACTATCCTCTGATACACTAGCTTGCGTTGGGGAATAAGGAATCCATTCTGAATTAGCACGTATTGCATCAAGGCGAATGATCCGCTGCCATGTTGTGAAATCTTCAACTGTGGGAAGTTTTGATTGGCCGCCTTCTATGGAAGGAGAATCATCCTTGGGGGTCATGCCAGGATCAACATCTTCCCTACTCTCAGATGAGGGAAAAGTTTGAGTCACTTCAGCGTCTTCAGAGGACTCTGAGTCAGATGAGTCAGTGTTTAGTGTAGAGGAATCAGCATTAGTGATTCTCCTCGAGCTATCATCACCATCCAACAAGGTACTGGATGGATCTCCTGAGTATTCAACGTCTGGGCTCCTTTCCTCACTAGAAAGAGACTCTCGGGCACTAACCACGTCTTCGGAGCTGGGAGAATCCATCTCATGGATAAAACCTCTGGTGTCTCCATCGTAACTGATTCCATCAATTTCATTCAACTTAAAGCTCTCATTGGTGCGTTTTATAAGCCGACGACATTGTCTGCGGAGTTTCTCATATTCCTTTCTGCACATATTGCCAAAACAAATGGCGTTTAGAAAAGACCCTTCGAGTATATTAAGAGAAAAACTTCATGAGGAAAAAGCTTGCATGTTGGAAACATAAATCCAAGATTCCTGAATAAACTTGAAATAAGTACCTTTTCTGAGTTCTTATTAGATCTCTTTCTTCCTTGGAACTGTTTAAATCGTAACTGTAAAGATTAAGACATCAAACAGTCAACTTAGAGAAGCATTGCTTCGTCATTCTCAAAGGACAACATACACATAGAAGCACCCACATTTAAGTGCATGCACAAAATGATAATCACAGTATGAGACAAACGAGTATCAAAAGACAACATAGAGAGTATAACATCAAAAAGTCAACTTAGAGAAGTATTACTTCGCCATTCTCAAAAGACAACATACACATCTAAGCACTCACATTTAAGTGCATGTACAAAATGATAAGCACATTATGAGACAAACGGGTATCAAACAAATTCAATTCTTGTCATTCAAATGTATGTGGCCAATGCTGATGTCTCATAATCTTATTTTGAAAGGGAAAGAACGGGAAAGAACAGGATAAGACTTAACTAAACGTAGGCACCTAGAATTCAAACCATCAAAACTAATAAATTTCAGCCGAAAAAGGACTGAAAATGAGGGAAAAGAGAAGAAACGAATGACGATACCACTAGGAAATGAAAAACAAAAAATTCAGAAAGAGAAAAAGGAAAATAAATTAATAAAATAAAATCAAGCTAGGGGCAAATCAATAACTTGAATGTGTCCTTGACGACATCTGTTGGTTATGTTTAAAAAAAGGAATATCCAACAAACTATAGAACATGAAACGCTAAAACTGTCACTAGTCCAATTACACATTGTTCATGCCGCATGGAAGAAAAGAGTATTCAAATCCTCCCCACATTTTGGTATCAAACAAACCACCCATTACTACAATCAATTAACAGATTAGATGTCTTTCTGATATGGGAGATTTAAGCATAAGTAGTCCTTTCTTATATTTTCGTATGTCATTTATTTTAGCTTAGCTTAGTTTTGTTATTAGTATGCCGTTTATCTTAGTTGTCATTTTACTATTGTTTTCTATGTGAGCTATACATAACTATATTACCTAATGTAAAGGGAGACTTAAATTTTTTGAGAATTGAATACTAGAGTTGTTTTCTCCCCAAATTGGGGATTTTCCCCTGGTGGGGTTCTATTAGGTAGATTTGGGATTTCATGTCCCGTCTTTCGTCTAGGTTAGGCCAGTAAAATTCCGTTCTATCCATTCCGCTGCATCACTGTCTGAGGGAAGAAAAAAGAATATAGGAAAATAGTATTCATAGAAAAGGGTTAGCATGCTTACACTCCAAGAAGGAATGGCCAAACCTCAGCCCTAATACTCGGATCAACACCCTGCAATTAAAATTTCAACACAGAATATAGGTGAAAATGTTTGAGATCTTTATAGAAGAAAGTATATTTGCATTGTGGCAGTAACTCACTCCACTGCGAACTTTTTTCAAGAACTTCACTCCGCCACCACGTAATTTCCCATCTGGTGTAAACAAACTTCTCCATTGCCGAGGTAAAAGGGCATGTTTTCTTTTCCTGCGCGACCACGATGATTTAAGACGTCCCCTGAAACAAAAGAGCACCAAAAGTTATGGAAAATTTTGAAGAACACGGAGGTATAGAATGTATAGCTAAACAATCAGCTAGCAATCGCAAAACAACCATTAAGGAAAAAAGCTTAAACCGATGAGTGTCGATATATGGAAACCAGATTAAACAAGCCAGATTCCCTTCAAATCTCAATAAGTTAAATATTTCATACAAAAGATATTTTGGAAAGAGCAGCATGTACATTATCCCATTTAAATTATTTCCTTTTCTTGACAAATTCACATTAAGAAAGATACGCATCCAAGTCAAACATGCGCAAACCGCACCGTTACAACAAAAATCGTATCCAGATATAGTTTTATTCAAAATATACTTAATCTGAACAATTATGAGTTAATTTGGTCGCTCTTCTAAAGTTCAAATTAGGTGTTCCAAGCACTCAATAATCACCATACAGGTTCAGTTCCCACTCAGCAAAGTTTTTCTTTTATCATCAGAGACCCACGATTATCAATTGTTTGTTTTAGCTATAACTTCTAAGTCCTCCTAAGCTTGCCCAAGAGACAAATGGCCAGTAAAATATATCTTAAACCCGTAATTCGAGAAGATATAGAGATTTGCAACACAAATCATGAATCTACAACTACAAAAAAAAAAACTCAGGGAAATAAAAAAAGACTGAAGTTTGATATATAATCATCTAACAGTCCAAGTCACCCATTGTTCCCATACCAGTGGAGAGAAATCTGTTCTAAATTTGACAAAATGACTACCAAAAACCGTTCAAATCTAACAAATCAACAACTTTTCCACCTAAATTTACGTCTATGGCAAGTCAAAGGCAGGACCGAAAGATGTGAGTGAAGTGGAAGAACCCACAGGAAATGAATTTGATGAAAGCGAAAACGAAAATCAGAATGGGGGAAAACCCAGTAAAACAAGTGGATTGAACTGCAATTCGTAGGGGAGGTAAGACTAAGTTCACTCTGAGATCGAGATCTGAGTCCAAACTACTGAAACAAAGAAAAATCAGTGAAATCACAGTTAAAATTGATTCAAGGAGGAGAGAGAAAAAAGAGAGAGAGAGACTCACCGATCAGAGTGGGAACAATAAGCTGGAGAAGAAGAAGTGACAACAAATAGAACCGAACGCAAATGAATCCACGACGATGAAGATGACGATGACGACGACGACGACGAAGAAGGAGAGGGATTTGAAGACGAAGTGTGGCTTCGTCGAAGAGCTTTCATCTATGAGTACAACAAAAAAAGGAAGGAAAAAAAAACCAAAAAAATCGGAATTGGTGGTTGGAAGGTTTTGCTCCTGCTCTAGGGTTCCGACGAGCTCAAAGATTATCTTTTTGAAGGGCTTGCGTAGTTTTCGTTTTTCATTTTCGTTTTACCTACTGGCCGTGTAGAACATAGCGACGACCACCGCGAAGCCCGCCAAGGCCGTGACGGCGACGGCGACGGCGACGTTGGAAGGCGGCGCCACCCTGACCCAGAGACCTCCCCCGCCACCGCCGCCGGAGATGTTGGTGTCGTCGATGCCGGAGATGAACATGGAGAGAGGAAGCGGTTGGAATTACCGGAATACCCCTCCAGTGGTCTTTGGTCTGTCCGGTTTCTGCCTTTCTGAATTTTCGTCTAGTCTAGGCAAACCCAAAAAATAAGTCTAAAGAGCCAACTGCTTTAGAGAGAGAAAGAGAGAGAGAGGAGAGAGAGTCTTTTTCTTTGTCTCTCTCTACAGCTTATAAAGAACGACAGTATCTTATATTTCTTGCCCTAGAAATCTCAAAATTGCAAACTAGACCACGCCCAAAGAAGAGATTTTTTATGCTTTTATTTACTTGAGTGGACAAAATGACCCATTTGAGAACACCCTTCAAAAATTTTATTTTTTTCATTTTTTATTTTCATGAAATAAAATTCAAGCAGAAGAAAACAAAAATGCTTTTTTTTTTCTTCTCTGGGAAGAAGAAAACAAAAATGCTTACCTGAAGGAATCGTTCTTTGATATTTTGAAGAGCAACACATAATTGACGGATTGAATTTTCATCTTCAATATAAAATAGAAAATAATTGACGAGATGGTTTCTCCGAATTCGTTGATTTTTTCTTATTTATATTTAATAATTGGGGCGTGTGTAGTTACTTTCATATTTATGGATGTATATATGTGGAGACATCTTACTTGGGATAGAAATGTGAGTGTTGGAGAAGCTTCTAGACATCTCGTTGAGTTTAATGTGTTCTTGTCTTGGTAAGTTTTTATTTGGGTGTGATTGGGATTGAATAACTTTCCATTTGTGTAAAATTTCAAATCTACGGATTTTATGCATGAAATTGATAAAACAAATCAGGGCATCGTTCGTTTCGCTGATTTGAGTTTTCAGTTTTAGATTTTTATAGTAAAAAACTCTTAGAAAATATCACATCTAACTTTTTCTACTACAGTGAAAAGCTCTCTGAAAATGTCACATCTCAACTTGAATTGAAAACTCGAATCTGCGAAATGAATGAGGCAATATCTATGTCATTTTTAACTTCCAAAACATTTCGAATTACTAATTCAGATGTAAGAGGAGAACTGAGGTAGAACAAGAAAGTAGAAATCCTTGAGGGTACTCTTGTCCATTTAGGTAGCCCTAATTTTGGGTTTTGATTTTCAGGGAATTCATAAATAATTTAAATAGTAAATAATGAAATTAGAAAGAGAGAAAAATCCTTCACTAGGTATTTTGTTGAGTGTTAAAACAGAGTGGAAGAATCTATCACAAGGGAATATCCCTGGTTCACTCAGTAGGCCCACCCAATATAGCCACATATCACGGATTTTTCTTTTTTTTTTTCTTTTTTACTTTTTTTTTCTTCCTCCATAAAGGATATTATTTACACCACAACCAACCGTGCTTTTAATATTTCCAGTTTCTTTTTACTTTTTTTTTCTTTTCCTTTTTTTTTTTTCCTAAAGGAATTCTTTTTCTCTTTGGATAATTAAATGGATAACACAAGTATATCCCATTCTTTGTGCAACTAACAAACTCAATTATAGGCATGGGCCGATGAAAAGATTAGGGGCATTGAATTAGAGTTGGTAAGTGCACCAACTCCTAATCCAGGTTTACTAATTATCTTTGCTTATTAGAAATATTAATTTACAAACTCCAACTTTTAATTTAGAAAAGCATTATCTCTTCAATAAATTGAAGGGATTAATTTATTAAGGTACAATTATCCTTAGCATATTTGATAGAATAGTTCATGAGAAATGAAAGGAGGGTCAAAGTTAGTCAAGATGCAACGATTTAGACAAGGCCTAACCAACTCGGCCTAATCCTTTTTTTTTTTTTTTTGGAAGTAACTAATCCAATCTTGATATGCTTAATTAATTAATCATAAAAAAAATTAACATATTTTTGGTGTGACACTTAAACCAATTGTTTCCTATGGGTTCATTTGATTGATCCGCGTTGGGGAGTACTTGTATTGGGGTGCCATCGTTAACTTTTTCTTTTGTTAACTAACAACTACTTTGGTTCTGAGAAAGAAAACGACATCCACAAGTAAAGGTCAACAAAGTCAGGCGCAGAGTTATTGGCCATGGTAAAAGATTGTTGAGAAAAGAAAAAATTAAAAAAAAAAAGAAAAAAAAAAGTGAAATGTACCCAGTGGAGAGTCAGAAAAAAAAAAAAAGAAAAGAAAAAAAAAAAGGAAGGCTCTCGACAAATGCGTGGTTACTTCATTGGATTTTCCTTTTTGCATTACAAAACGATAAAGCAGGTCAAAGGGTAACATGGCATTGTGCTTTAAAATACTACAAAATAAAGGTTTTAACTTTTATTAACATGGGGATGTGTTTAGGATTTTTTTTTTTAATTTATTTTTTCGGGGGCTTGTTTTATTTGTCTATCTTTCTATATTTTTTCTTTGTTTCGTCAATGAAATTCTTGTTCAGAAAAGAAAAAAAAAGAAAAAAAAGAAAACAACATACCAAGATTTGTTTGTTAGGAGAGTGGGAGGGGGAGCAAATAAAAAGAGTGCTTTATCTTTTTAAACATACAAAGGGAGGCAGCTAAAAAACGAGAGTTGAATTTCACGGATATTGCTAGAAAAAATAAAATAAAATAAAATAAAAGAGACCACTATTAGTGCAATAGTTATAGAAAATTCTCTCTCTCTCTTTTTTTTTTTTTTTTTTTTTTTGTGTGGGTTTTGAGGCACTTTATATGATAAATTGCAAAAGGATATAATTCCCTGTGGGGCCAATGTGTTGGCATGCCCTACATCTCCAACTCTCTTTTCATCAACCGGCACAATCATGAAAGAGATTCCAAGGCATAAATGTGACCCCAAAGCTAGCTCTGTCCTCCACAAGACAGTGACAGCACGCCCCAAGGGAAGGGATGTATCTCATGACTCATGCCTCCTCAGAATATCTAATTAGCTTACCAATTACCATGTATATATCTCATTGTATCATCACTCTTTTTTTTTTCTTTTGCTGTTTTTTCCACACAATCATCTTGGACCTTAATCATGCTCAGAAGCACGCAATCAAGTGTAATTATTCCCCCCCACTCTCCTAACAAAATACTAGTTTTGGCATTTTTCATCACGCCAAAAAATTTTCAGGCCCTTCCTTCTTTGTTCTTCCCTTGTGATGCAATTCATTATTGTTTCTTTTGCTTACTCAAAATTGACTGGTTCAATGTTAGAGCGCTTTTTCTAGGGGATCTCTACACCATCACGGTTGATAAAATTGGTTACTTGTCATCCACTTGTTGTTCTATTTTATGCTTCATTAAGCATACCAACGAAGTTGTCGTCATTTGGTGTATCCCTATGTTTTTAAGAACCTTTTACTAATTTCAGAAACTATTTATCTTCAACCATTCTTGAGAATGAGGTCAACTATATGTATATACATATACATATATATATATATATATGTGTATATATGAATTAACAAAAATACCATCCTCTCGGGCTAAGGGTCCACTGCTTAAAGGATGGTCCAAGTTATTATTTGGAAACCCAAATCAATTAATTGAGCAAGACAAACAGCCGAGTGGATGATGGACCGAAAGAGAGGCATTACAACGTTTATGTCATGTGCTGCTCAAGTGGCACTGTGGGGCACTGCTTTTCCAACTTCTTTTTCCCCTGAATATGGTGCTTAAGCGGCAAAGTGTCCCGGTTGATACTAATGCTAACTAATCACGAGGTGGGACAAGAGAAATAAAGTTGATATGTTGTGTCGAAATTGTTTTTAAGCTTTAAGCAGACGAATTTATAGCTACCATTAAGTTGCAGTGAGGAAAACAGATCATGTTGGTTATGAATAAAAACCAGTTCATTCGAAAACCAGTAAAGGTTTGTGAAATCATCCCAACTTATCTACTGGCTAGTGCCATCCCACATAGAGACCGGTCCATCGGAGGAAAGATGCAGATGACAAATCAGATAAAAAGAAGGGGCGAGAGAATGAGAAATCCACCTAAAACTGCATATCATGTCAAGTGATGATTTATTTAAGACCTCAAAGATTTATTTAAGACCTCAAAAGTTACCACCAGAATCAGGAAGATGTCAAAGGCTAACTGTGTGTGTTCTTACCATCAAGATTACAAAGACATAACTACATATAAGATCTATTTGCAAACCACACCACACAAGATAAGTACGGAAGCTAATATATTCTTCTTTCGCATTATTATTGATGTTCTCCCACTCTACAGCTTTGAGGCAGCATTCTTGTCCAGAAACCACTTCAGCTCTCCTGCGGGTGAAACCAATTCCACAGGCAGCGTACCAGAATCTTCACTACTTCCCAAAGCTTTTTGCACAGCGCTTGCTTTACCGGTACCAGTCACGACAAGTGCGATATAAGCAGAAGAGTTTATTACTGGAAATGTGAAAGTGATTCTCTCTGGGGGCGGTTTTGGCGAGTCCTTGATGAAAGTAACCCATTTCTCCTTTTCCTCGACAAGAGGGTGCCCTGGGAATAGGGAGGCTACATGTCCATCTGGGCCCATTCCCAGAAGCATGAGATCAAACTTGGGAAACCCACTAGCTTCCGAGAAATCTACCACACCATTCTTAACCAAATGCTTCAATCCAGTTTCATAATCGTCAGCTGCGCCCTCAGCTGACAGTGCGTCATTGATGGCATAAACATTACCAGGAAGGATTGGTACCTAAGCAAATAAAAATAAAGGTTTACTTGTTTAAATAAGAAGAGAAGTGGTTATGCTTTTTTATGCAAATACTAAATAACTAATTCGAACATCATCAGAGAACCATGATCAGCTTTCAGTAGATATTCTATCAAACGACTACACATGAATTGCCGTTCACCCTCCTAGGGGCCAAGGAATAACCCATATATCTCACTAAAGAAATTCAGAAAAGGTTTGAATCATGAAGCCAAAGATATCGGTATTAACAATCATTCAACTGTCAACAATACTTGGGCTTCGTTTGTTTCGCTCTTTCGATTTAAGAACTTCAGTTAAAAAGTGAATTCCCGTGAGAAAAAACACTGTAGTCGAAAAGTTGAATTTGAATTTGAATTTTTGTGAGAGACAACATTGTAGCAAAAACTTGAGTTGTGATTTGAACTGATGAAGGAAAGGGGCCTTAATCTATCTTATGGACGACGAAAGCTAACTCTACTTCAAGCAAAACAAAATAAGTTCATCGCAGTGTGAAAACACTCAACTCAAACTAGCCCATATTAGTCACAAATTCAACTCCACAGAACATGTTCGGGTAATATTATATCTCATGCCTACTATGATTCCTTTTCTTATCTCCTTTCCTTTCTTTCATCAATTTTGAAAACTTGCGACCACAACATAATTCAAGAACATAAAAGCCAGACCAATATGGAATCATAGATTTTCCAACAAAGGTACCTTAGAAAGAAAACCATCGTAAGCGAGTTTATAGTTACTGTCTGCGTGATCCTTTGGCACAACTCTCTCATCCACCCAAAAGACATGCCACTTTGACCAGTCCACGGAATCAAGATACGGCGGTTCCGCTAATTTCCTGAGAAGGGGATAACAAACATTTTCTTTATACATAGTCAATATGGTTTGGCCTCGCATTATTTTAATTTCACGCTAAAGCAAATAGCAAATCTTGTCCCAAAGAAACGACTTCTGCTTTATTTGCCGATCAATATCGAACAATAAAATCAAAGACCAAAATACTGAATTTGACAAACCTAGACAACCAAAAAAAAAAAAAAAACATCTTTCCTACTTGGTGTGTACTATATATCAGTTTATAAACCAGCCTTTCTCTCACTTCCTTTCCAAACCCAAACAGAACATAAGAGTCCTAAAATCCATTAAAAAAAATATTAACTTTACATCTCATTTTCCTTCATCTTCGTCAAAAAGTCGTAAATTCTAAGCTAAACAAGCCAGATTATCAGGGATATACAAAGCTAGAGTAGTGAAAAACGCAGAAATCGGAATCAAAGAATCAAAATCAAAGCGTGTCCTGTAAGGAGAAGGGAAATTGAGGATTAGTTAATTATTCACCTGAGGTAATCGATGAGAGATCCGCCGGACAAAACAACGGTGAAAGCGCCTCTCTCTTTAGTAAACTTGTCGGAGAGATCGGCGGTGTACTTGGCCAAATCCGCCGCCAGATCATCCTTGGTATCGAACACCTGAACCTTCTTCTCCGCAGCCATCCGAGCCGCCGCCGACGCCGACGACGACACCGCTCTGCAACAGAGTTTCTCTCTCCTCGATGCGGTGAAGAGAGAGAGAATGGGTCTCGAAGGAGGAGAGAGTAGTAGTGATGGTGAGGAAGATAATGGGGTGGCGTGGAGAGTGGGCGAATATTCGGAGGAGACGAATCGGAGACGAGAAGTGGAGAAGAGGAATGAGAGTGAAAGGAAAGCCATGCGCTGTGGCGCAAGGCTGGGTTTTTATTCGAGTTTGAGTTTAGTTGGCGAGTGTTTGGTGTGGTGTCGACTTTCAGAAGTGACCGGTGACGAGGGCCTTCAGTTTGGGTGGCACCAAGGTGGGCCTTTGGCCTAGTGACTTGGCGTTACGACCGACGAGGGGCGGCTATCTTAACGACACGTTTAGGTTTCAAATGGGTACTCAATACCACTTCATTTCATAGCCCTCGTTTAATTCACGAATTTAAATTTTTAATACGAATTGAGATATAATTTTATATAAAAAATTATATATGATTTTTTATGAAAATTTTTAAGTGTAATAAAATTAGAATTAAAAACTCAAATTAGTAAAATAAATGAATAAATAATGTCTATTTATTTTATTTTGTTAATATAGCATAAATTAAATTTCTCTTGTCGGACTATACTAAAAAATAAGTATAAGACTATCAAAAGATTATTTTCATAAATACTCTTCAATCTATGTATTTTGTTTTAAAATGCTGCTTAATTTTTTAAAACAGTTTAAAATATCCTTTAATATATAAAAAATATGTCAAATTATCTCTTCTATCTACATCTGTGTATAATGTCTTTAGTTTAATTAAAATTTAATATCTTTAGTTTAATTTATAATAGCACGCCATTTTTGCAATTTTGTTATGGTTATAGACGGAAGTGGACATAAGGTGATTTTGTTGAGAAAAATGTCTTAAAAACATGAAATTAATAATATATATATTATTTATTTAATAAATTAGTTTATTCATTATTTTATGTGCATATATTATTGAATATTTATAAAATACTACCAAAAACTTCATAATTATTTATGTGACTTTAAATATTGTTATATAAACATTATATGCGAGAGGATAATATTTAAGGATAATAATCAAAACGATATTTGTAATGAATTTAATTAAAACATTATTAACACATGTCATTCTTATTTAAAATATAATGGTGTAATCTGCACTGTTAATATGACAAAATATTGAATAAGCGTATTACGTATAATGAGATTATATGAAATCGGAACACAGACACAATATGAATTTGTGATAATTTTTGTTAAGTATAGAAATTCTAATTGAGTCTGCCGATAGTCCTATTTATGGATTTTTGTCATTTGATTTACTCGGTACGGATTCTGAGAGGTTAAATCCTATTCATTGTATTTTGGAGACATTATGAAGTGAGTAGCCGTGAATGTTATTATACAAGATAGAATCTATTCATTCTTGAGAAATAAGTAGATAACTAATTCTCTTAAGGATTGATTCAGTACTTAGACTAGTAGGAACTCCGATTCATAAACTTGTTTTATGAATCACTGTCTATTATAGAATCAATAATCACTATTTTGAACCCATAAACTAAATATGTCCTACAAAGGCCAGCTTAAATAGTAAACATTACGACTTTGAAGGTGTCATTCGATGCAAATTTAGGTTTGAATCCTCTTAAGGGTAAATTATTTGAGACTATGCGACTAATTATAATTAGTATAAAATTTTTGGTAAAAATGTTGTTTTTTCAATTTTTGCGAATAACAATATCTTTGCACACTCTTGTTTTTCTTTTGGAAGTCACACACATTTTTTTATACAAGATGGAATTGAACTCGCAATAATCCACCCAAATCCCACTCTTCCAAAACCCCAGTGTCATTAGACCAAGTGGTCTTAGGCCACACACTCTTTTTTTTAATACAAAACAACATTTCATTAACAACAAAGCTTTAACTTACAAACACCTCAATATAAAAAACTTGATACAACAAACTAAAATCGATGGATCCGTTAGTGTCATAGTATAAGGATCCAAGGTCCGATAGTATACACAATTTGAAGCACTTCTTTGGGCTCTCTTAATTATCCCTTCACAGTTGACTCTCTTAAATGGACTGTAGTAAACTCTATGTAGACTAGAGATCGACCTCTGAAAGTCGATATTATTTTAGATCAAACTCACCGAAGCGGGAGACCTGAATAAAAGAAGAAAATTTATTATATTATTTAAAAAAACAGAAGAAAATAAATTTACCATTATGTTTTTCTAGAGGCAATTAATTATTAAGGACTTGTTCACTTCGCGAATTCGAGTTTTTAATTTGAGCTAAGACGTGGCATTTTTTGAGAGTTTTTCACTGTAGCAGAAAAAGTTAGATGTGATATTTTTTGAGAATTTTATACTGTAAAAACCTAAAATTAAAATTCAAATCGGTAAAATGAATAAGGTCTAAGCAATTAACTAATTATGTTTGGAAGCACTAAGAACCGAAAAACAGGCAGTGCATTATAATTTATACAACATCAGAATATTTTAAAACGAGCATCCAAACACCTGAATATCACGTCAGCGGAAACCCTAGCTTAATCCCCAATCTATCATATATAAGCTCATCTCGAGCGCAGACGCCCAAAGAAAAAACCCCAACGCCGAGAGAGCAGGAAAGAGAGACAGAGAGAGAGAAAGCCGGCGAGGATGCAGATCTTTGTGAAAACCCTAACCGGGAAGACCATCACCCTCGAAGTAGAGTCCAGCGACACAATCGACAATGTCAAGGCCAAGATTCAAGACAAGGAAGGTAAGCCTTCGAAGCATCAAGTTTTTTTACACGATCGATTCAATTTCTTTCTAGGCGTTTGCGATTATTAACACTGTGATTTTTGTTATCGGAATTTGAAAATTGGTTTAGGTATTCCTCCGGACCAGCAGAGGCTGATCTTCGCCGGGAAGCAGCTCGAGGATGGCCGTACTCTTGCCGATTACAACATCCAGAAGGGTTAGTGTTTTAGTATTTATTTATTTTTTCTTTGCGGACCTGTTTGGATGGCGAGAAAGTTGTGGAAGCGAAGGAAATCGTTTTATAGTCTATTATTGTTGTTATTTGTTAATTTTCTGTTTGATTATGGTTTTGTAATTTATTTAATGTCATTTTGCAGAGTCGACATTGCATTTGGTTCTGAGGCTTCGTGGTGGAATTATTGAGCCATCTCTTATGGCGTTGGCCAGGAAATACAACCAGGACAAGATGATCTGCCGCAAGTATGTTCCTTAGTTTTGGGTTTTCATATCCAATTCGTGTTTGATTTCTATTGTTGCCTGATGCTATTTGACTCACTGGTATATCGTTACGATTCTGCTGTGTTTGCTTGAGGTTCCATTTATTTTTATCTTGGGTGTGTATGCGGCACTGAAATTTCATGTTATTGGATCTGTGGCACTGAATTTGTTTCCAGATTGATTAGATAGCAGTTTGTTTCTTTGTTTAGAATGCATAGTTGACTGGTTCATGAAATTTGCCCAAAGATCTTATAGCTTGTTTGCAAATAAATGATCGTTTTATGATTTACAGAAGACAGTTCATTGTTAATCGTTGGTATTATATAGTTTAGTGTTCAAATATATTATATACCTAAAGTTGTTTGTATTGGGTAAAATTTTTGTTTATCATACCTATGAATGAACGCCATGGATGGTTCTTTTGGTTTTCTTTTTTAGATATCGGGGTACTTGTTGTTGCTGGTAGTAGTTTTAGGTTAAGTTTCATACCTTAAGTGTATTTTCAAGAAACTGCTTCAGTTTAGCAAAAGTCGTGCATGCAGTCGTATCAATTGGTTGAAAGGTTTGAAAGGGAATGTCATTCTAGGGTGGTGATAGCTGATGGTTCCGGATTCAAAGGATAGTACACCAACAGCATAATAACATTCCTTTGGAAACCGATAAAGGGAAATTATTTTAGTGTCTAATGAGAGATTTTAATTGGCACTCCAGTATTTCATCAAAACACTAATTTTTGAAATCTTGTTGCGTGTTACCAACCTCATGTTTTATCTGCACTCAAGCATCTCAATTGTTATCAAGATGAAACTCACAATGTTTGGTATAATTGTTCAATAGGTGCTATGCCCGCCTGCACCCTCGTGCTGTCAACTGCAGAAAGAAGAAGTGTGGGCACAGCAACCAGGTTTGATACTTTTAGAAGACTGAGTTTTGATTTTTCTTTTCTTTTTTTTATAGAAATTTTAGCCTTTTTGTTTGTTTACATGCGTTTTATTTCTTGCATTGCAGTTGAGGCCAAAGAAGAAGATCAAGTAGATTTTCAATTCTGGCAAAGAGCTTCTGTTCCCTGTTAGGGCATTGGTTTTGTTTTGTTATCATAATTCTAGGAATTCGAAGTATGTTTTGAGCATGGTTTTACTGGGATAACGTCGTATTTTACTCTCTTCTTGGAAACCTTTGTTATGAATGATAATTTTCAGACTTTTGAGCCTTCGTGTTTTAATGTGCCATTTGAGTCTCAAAATATGTACATCCATGTGGGTATTTACGTTTATCCCATAGCCGTAAACATAATATTGATCTCTTGACACCGACTGAATTGGTCATGTGGGTATTTAAAACTATTAGAAAGTTGGAATGTAGGTTGGTATTTAAATTTTAAAGTTAGAATTATGGTTGTAGGTACGTAGCATTATTCGTTAAAAGGAAAAGAACGTATTTGCTTACGTACGTAACGTTTTAAATCTACAATGATCATTCGCGCGTTGCGGCTCTTTTAAACGACAACTTGTTCGCTTTTTTAACTTTACGGTGCATCCTGCATTAGTGGAGCAAGTGTCTTTGACCATTAGAGTAAGAGTCCGTTTGGTCGGAGAATTTAATTTTTAATTTGAATTATAGTTTATGGTTCGCTACAGTATTTTCTCATAAAAAACACGTAAATTAAAAATAGTTTTAATCTCATAGTTTTAATTTCCGTTTGGTCGGAGAATTTAATTTTTAATTTGAATTATAGTTTATGGTTCATTACAGTATTTTCTCATAAAAAACACGTAAATTAAAAATAGTTTTAATCTCATAGTTTTAATTCATGAATCAAACGGGTTTTAAATTTTTAATGGTCATAATTGTATAAGTTCATATTAAAAATTTATAGCGCGTTATACAAGATTGTTCTTACTTTTACCGTTATTCCATTGGTGAGTTACAATTTTGAGATGTACTGTAAAAGATTTTTTTTTTCCAATAAAAAGGTGACAATAAATTCTAAATTACGAATGGTATCTTTTATATTTATAAAAAAAATTGAGATTTTATTTTTGAGTGTATGAATGGATTTTTATTCATTACATTTGATAAATATTTTTTAGTTATTATAATTATTTAACTAAAAAGATTATAAATTAAAAATAAATAATAAAAATTTTAACTCATGCACTTTTAAAAAATATTTGTTAAGATTATCCGTATTTATAAGATATCAAAATTTTAGGCTTCATATGATTGTGGTTATTCAACGTCAAAATTGGCAAAACAATGAGAGAGATGTTCTGTTCGTTCTTTCATTTTATCAAAATTCTAGGCGTCATATGATTGCGGGTATTCAACGTCAAAATTGGCAAAACAATGAGAGAGATGTTTTGTTGTTCATTCAATGAATGAACGACGTCAAAGTCTGGAACAACGTCTTTGTAATTTACTAATTTATATATTTCCAGAACGATAGCAGGCTTCAGACCTCAAAACAGTAGTTTCTCGAAATAAAAGCCAGAAAATTCCGAATAACTAACGACAATTTCAATACTAATTTCTATTTTCTAACAACCATATTCATTTTCTGTTTCTAGGATTGGCAATCAAATTAAAAACGTTAAACAAGAAAAATTTCACTTTTATCTTCCGTTTGCTAGAGATAATACAATTCTCATACTTGGCATTTCGTTGGTACTTGGGATAGCTTGAGTTGAAATCTTCTCGGTTAGAACTCACTTCTAATTTCCAAATGTCATCTGTTTGAAAAAAGTACAGAAAGTAAGCACCATGGAATAGATATCTGGAGGAAATATGGCTAGGAACATTTTTCCTTTTTATCTCCTCCTCTTCATGGAAATAAATAGGAGAATTATGTGATAGGATACAAAATAATACCTATCAATAATAATTCTCCAAACAAGTATGAGGGAACAACAAACCTTGTTTGGAAAATGTTCTGGATCATCTTTGTGGGAGATTCGCTGGCTGCATATTCTAACTGAAGCAACTCTTCTGAACTCAGCCGCCAACCAATAGCCCCCAAATTTTCCTCTGCTTGTTTCACGCTCTTAACACCCGGGATTGGAATGGCACCTTTGCAAATGCACCAATTTATAGCCACCTGCCAACCAAAAATCTTTCCATGTTGGAGAATTTTGTTTCCTGAAAAAAGTAATTATAGGCGTAGAGAGAGAGGCATCCATCTTATTAATTCCGAGAGGTAAAGATACTCTGCTCAATATATGGATTGTGTTTGAAGTTGTTTTTGTTTTTCACGTTTTTTGAGAAAGAAAAAATAAAAACGGAAGAGAAACGACGTTTGACATAATTAAAGACAAAAAACAGAAATGAAAACGATTTTTTGATTTAGTGTAAAATGTGAGAAATAAAAAAACGACTTTTAGTCGTTTTTCATTTTTTGTTTTCGTTTTTTACTCTCTCGAGCAAAGAGAGAGAGACATTAATAGATTTTTTTATACTGAAAACAATCTCTTGATAAAATTACTAAACGCATTTTTAAAAATGATTTATGTCTGAGATTGAAAACGTTTTCAATTCCATTTTCATATAAAAAATAAAATCATTTTGCTAAACGCATTTTTAAAAATGATTTATGTATGAGATTGAAAACGTTTTCAATTCCATTTTCATATAAAAAATAAAATCATTTTAAAACGAGTTCTAAACGCACCCATGAATTCCTCACAAGATAGAAATAGGATTGACCGGAACCCAAGACTTTATGTAGAAGCAGATAATCTTACCACCCTAGCATAAGACGAGACAGGTAACACATACATATTACATTTATGATTGGAATATCTACCTGAGGTACAGTTCTGCGCCTTTTTCGCGCAACTTCTTTGAGTGAACTCAACAAAGGCTGCAATCCTGGAAGAATTTGCCTGAATAAAAAAGCGCTACAGGAAGAGAAATTAAGCAGTCAAAACAAACAAGATTACAGCAGGCATTCAGTTGATGGAGTTTGTATTTTGTGAGTCAATCTCTACAATTAATAGGTGAAAAATATGAATCAAACAAACCAAATTACCGAGGGCCACGTGGAAGTTTGTCAGGAGTATATTTCCCAGTAAGCATTCCAAGTCCTAAAGGACTATAAGCAATTAAGCGGATGCCCAGAGAATCACATATATTCTTGGTTTCCAACTGATCTTCTCCCATGCTTAGCAAAGAAAATTGCACCTAAAACAGGTAGGAGTAGTTACAACAAAACAAAGATGTTCAAAGAAGTTCAGTGATTTCATTTCATGTTTTCAGTGAATTGAGATGGAATATTCTGGACACTGATATACATACTTGGTGATATCTATAAGTATATACCTGAGCTGAGACCAAGGGAACTCCACGAGCTTTGAGGTAATCATATATCTTTAAAAGCTGCTTTGGTCCATAGTTGCTGACCCCAACTGCTCGAACCAGGCCCTACATCAAACCATCTCTATCAGTATGATGGGGAGTTTGTACAAATGATCTTGAACATCTATTTTGCAGCGTTCCATTTTAGTAAGCTTTTATTTCAGACAATTATTTTCCTCTCAAATTGATAATAGTTATCCGACACTTGTGATGAAATACCGATGTCGAAAGAAGATGGAAGAACAAGTACGAAGTGGAAGGAGGAAAACATGCAAGAAACTGATAGACAAAAAGAGATGATTGCATCCTTGGAATTTCTGAAGTACATTTCAAGCTTAAAGAGCGTTCTATGTTCTTTTGAAAGTAATTCTACCACCTATAATGTGCATAAATTATCAGAACCTTCTCATACATTGCTACTAAACCATCCCAAAGAGCCTTCTCCTGCAAAGGAGCGTAGTTTGCGGTCGACCAGTGCAGTTGCCCTATTCCAATTTTCTCAATTTCGATTCGATCAAGGGAGGCCCTGAAAAACCATGGCGTGTCAACATTGTGTCACAGCCAAAAAGAAACATCTAACTGCGAAGTTTTTGACATGTGAATATATAATGCAGAATGGAAATCCCTCTTTGTCAAAGTCAGTCTCACAAGGAAAATGGTGAATTGGATACCTGCAAGCATTTACAAACTGTGATGGTGTGAGGCGCCATGGATATGCTGCAAACTTGGTAGCTATCACAATGTCGTCCTGCACGCGCTTTTGCCCTGCAGATAACAGTGATCTAAAGCTTTAGATTAATCAAATTGGCCGCATCCTAACCAGCGTATTTTTTTATCCTTTATCTGCACATAAAAAGATAAATTCTGATCAAGTTCTGGAAAACCAGAAAGACCCCATGTTCCATCACACTGAAACCCAGTTCACGCAAACCTTGTGAGATTACTTAAACAATCTCGATTGCTCTAAGAAGAAAATGCAAGATATAGAAATGGTGCAAAGTAAAAAAAAAAAAAAAAACTAAATGCTCTCCATGATTTGGGCAGAAAGTACTCAATCCTTATTGTTCTTTGTATTGTTATCTTGACCTCATTTAGTATCTTTGCTATTATTTAGTTCTGGTTTGAATTGCTCTTAAGAAATTTTGCTACTACCATTCACCTTATAAATGGAATTAGCATCTTCTACAAGAATCATCATTAAAGGATCTAACTATAATTTGGTAATTAGTGAAGAAAAATTTGTGAGATTCATCAATATAATGGACAAGTAGTCCATAGTCTATGATATTGGACAATCTGTAGTACTAGACAAACCAGACGCAATTGATAAAAACCAATTTAGAGATTGATCATTCACTATGAACACAGCCAACAAACAACAAGAGAAGCTAATCTAATCTCAAGTCCAACATTGTTCATATGAAAGAACATATATAATATATAATATGTCAGACCTTGGTATTCCTTAATGAACTTGCCGAGTAGCTTTTCGCTTTGACCATTCAACTTGCCGGTCCCATAAGAGTCAGCAGTATCAAAGAGGTTGATGCCATTGTCAACAGCCAGATTGAAAGTCCTCTGAAGCTCAATGTCCATTGACTCCTGGTAACCCCAAAGAAGCTGGTTGCCCCATGCCCATGTCCCAAACCCCATTGGAGACACGTTTAGTGGGCCCACCTTCACCTGCTCTCAAACCACCACCACTCAATCATCATTATCTTCAAATATAAGAATATAACACATATATACATATATACAGAGAGAGAGAGAGAGAGAGACCTTTTGCCATGGCCAGAAGAGAGGAAGGTTAAGAGGCTTGAAGAATGATGAAGAAGGGAGGGAAGTTCCACTTGAAGAGCTTAAGGAGGCTAAATAGACTGTGGGTGTTGAAGCTGAAAAGGCCATTAACTAGTTATTAGTATTATTTGATCTTTCTCTGTGTGCAATATATAGTTGAGTTACAGTTGAGGACAGTCGGCAAAGTGTTGGTTTATGTGGTGAGTATCGAGCTGTTGGAACTTTGATGTTTTAAACGGATAGATCTTTCATAGGAGTAGAATCAAAGAAAAAAAAAAAAAAAAATGACAGCTGTGGGATTTGAACCCACGCCCTTTCGGACCAGAGCCTAAATCTGGCGCCTTAGACCACTCGGCCAAACTGTCGCGTTTCAATGTTGCCTTATACATTATTTATATCTATAATTTAACTCGACGAAACGCAGATTACCGTTTTCGGTATTTCTCAGTAACTTATATACGACGAAATTTAATAAACGTGTGAGGGTTAAATTTCCAGTAACTTATTTCACGAGAAAAAAGAAAAATTCTATGACGTGTTACAAAGAAAAAAAAGTTTAAATTGCCCACTAATGTGACTAACCTACCATATAACGCAACTTGTGTATGTACGTGTTCCCATCATTTTTTATTTTTTTATTATTTTTCCAAATTCGTGTTCCCATTAATTTTGCAATCATTCAAGTTATGTTTGGTACGAGGATTTTAGAATTAGGAATTATGATTCTAGTTTAAACTTTTTTTTATTTGTAAAAAGTAAAAAATAATTCTTGAAAATCAGTGTTTAGTTTGTATGGTTCTACTTTAAGATTTAAATTCTGATGTGATGTTTTAAATTAGAATCACTCTAAAAATAAAACCACCTCCACTCTTAATTTTGGATGATTCAAACTTTTGATTCTGATTTCAGTTTTAGAACTATAATTTAGACCCTACGTTTATATTATAAATCATAGTTTTAATTCTAAAACTAAAACCACCATAATTTAAACTCTCATACTAAACGCAACCTCAGGGAAGAAAAAGTTCACGTCAAACATGGAGATTTTTTAGGCCAGTCTAGAAATCTAGATGTTTCCAATGATGGGAGAGAGAATTTTGGACTTAGCTTCTTTTAATTTATTTCATTTTGGAAGAACAGTGTATAATTTATTATCTAAAACCATATGACTGAATTCTTTGCTGGTTCAAATACGGGGTATAGACCATCTTTCTAGGAAAAAAAAAAATCCCTTGTATTTTATTGTTTGACGTAAAAGAAAAAAGCAAAAAAAAAAAAAGAAAGAAAGAAAGAAAGAAATCACCTGACATCATGTCAAATATAAATCATATTAGAATAAATAGTCCTTAAAATCTAATAGGAGTGTGATAAAAACTTAAAATGTTGATTAACTAAAGAAAACCTCGCAAATCTTTTTTTTTTTTTCCGAGATCTTATGAGTTACACATGTGCATTATAACAAAACAAAATATATGTATTTCTACCAAATATATATATAAATATATGTATATATATATACACACACACAATACTACATTAAGGATATGCATACTACTACATAATCTCGAGTAACACATCAAACTTTGCTGTTGTCGTTTGATCTCACTAAGCACTACACGCTCTTGCCCCAAGTTGGCACACATTGAAGTACAGAAAAGCCTCTGCTAACTATTTCCTCCTTCCAAAGTTCTCCAAACCATCATTTGCTGTCGTTTTCTAGCTTCTTATGTCGTTTCTCAGCACTTTGTTCAGAGATGGCAAATTTTGAGTTAGTTTGGAATGCTTAATAGGCAACAAAAGCTACAATTTTTCCAAGTCCTCATTTCTCTAACTCCAGAAATTCAACCATTGTGAACAACCTCGCGGTTGATCAAAGACATCAAATGATCTACACCAAGTTTCAAGTGATCCTAAAGAAGCACGATCTCCTAATTCTTGAATTGTGTTTTGAAGTTCATATGATCCTATTCCTTCTTGCTTCAATTCTCCAACATTTTTGTTTGTGTTGTCATCACGTGGCTGCAATTGCATGGCTCCAATGTCGTTTTCCAATCCCTCTTGTAAAAAGCTATCTTTCACTTCACTCTTGGAATTAGTAACATTTCCACAAGTACTACTTGAACCTAGAAGTTCATTAAGCTTCTCCAACTGTTCAAGAACAAATATGAAAAGATATAAAAACAAGTTTTTTTATGTATTCTTTTAAGTAGTTGGTGCAAAAGGGTTATTTACCTGTAAAATCAAGGATTGTTTTTCTTGCTTCAATGACTCGAACTGGGAAGCCAAGCTCTCGTACTGAGCTCTGAGAGTTGTGAAGTCTTGCTCAATCTGTTTTGATTTCCACCTCGCTCTCCTATTCTGAAACCATATCGCGACTTGTCGAGGCTGAAGGCCGAGCTCTCGAGCCAGCTGAACTTTCTTTCTCGGTTCAAGCTTCGTCTCGGATTCAAACATGGACTCCAGCAACCTTATTTGCTCATCGCTGAACCTCCTTTGGTGGTTTCTGTCCATGTTGTTGTTCTTGTTTGATCTCTTCTTCTTCGAAACCTGAGAGTAATCTTCTCTCTCCATGGTTTATGAGAAGATGGTTTTTGTAATTGTTAGGTGAATGTGGCCTAGAAAATAATTGGAATCCTGCTAAAGAGTTTTGGCTATAGAATATATAGATTTAGATACGGAAAGAAAGAAAGAAAGAAAGAAAGAAAGAAAGAAAGGAAGAATTCCTTGGTGTTGTTTTCTGGTAATTGGGACAACTTAATGTTGATTGATAAATTTTCCTAACCAATGGGGTTAGATTTCTTTTCCCACTTTCCAATCTCATGTCTTGTGGACATCTCTTATCTTCACTTTTTTTTTTTTTTTTTTTTTTTCCCTTACCTAAGCTACGATATAATCCGCGGTTACTTTTGTACCAGTCCCATCGCTTTTCTAGAATCAATGTACGAAGGATGGGAGCCACAACATGGTCCCCATCTTTTCAAATAAAGTACGAAAAATTAAGGAAGAATTTTACGGCGGTAGGTTTATATAATGAACGGCCATCCTTGTATAAGATTCTAACAACTTGATATACAATATTATTTGTTTTTATGTGATTTTAATAAGATTAAACGTTTATAATCGAACAGTGTTGGTAAGAAGAATACCCCACCGTGGAAAGCTTAAAAAAGAAGAAAAAAAAAAGACGGCTCTTGGCCTACGGTTAGATATGGAGACGTTTGGTTCATGAATTATAATTATGAGATTAGAACCATTTTTAATTTACGTGTATTTATTGTGAAAGAAAATACTGTAACGAACTATGAACCATGATTCGAATCAGGGTACGAATCCCCTTACCAAACACACTTTAGTTTATATTGCCTAGTATGTTTATCTTTTACGTGCTATACATACATATATATATATATAGTTGTTCTACATTTTGGATGAATGTGAGTATTATATCTTGCTCCTTGTTGAAATCTCTAGAAACTTGAGTTTGTGGTTAAAATTTGAGTTCAAATTCTCCTTTCAATTCAAGTTTCTAAATTCAAATTATAACTCAAATTCAACTCAAGTCACCGTAACTTAAAAATACAACCGAACAAGCCTAAACTCCCATAAAAATTTCCTCTTGATCTTCTTTTAGTGAGCGTCTTAGTAACAACTATGGTATTGTAAAACGGGCCGTGAAATAATGGAATGTATTTTATTACATACGACTTCTGTTATAAACATTGAGATGGATGTTAACGTTGAAACATCATGAGATCGATCTAGATGACAGTTTTAAATAATTAATCACCAAAAGGATGGAGCTTAATCAAGAGGGTACTTGAAAAGAAAAGTCCTACAATCTTCTCAACTTTACTTAGATATATAGTGGTCAGATTTACATTATGGGAACTTTTTCTTTTCTTTTTTATTTTTATTTTTTTTATTGCTCTTGTCAATCATAGCCAATTGGCTAGCTGACAAGAGAGTAAGGTGCCCATGGTGTCTGAGTGGTCAAATATCTAATTTGTCATTTTGCATGGCAGGTGAAGATCAATACAATTATACAAATGATCATAATTTGAATATGCATGCACACTTTTGGGACACTTATATTTTATATACTACCAACTATCAATTCCCACATCAACTAAATAAATAATTGATTTGGAAAATTTCATTTGGCATCTCTTTTTTTTTTTTTTTTTTTTTTTTAAAATTTTTTCACGAGCTTCTGTCATGATTGAGTACTGATTTTGGATAATGTAAATATATTGACTTCTCAATCATTAGCATATACTAAACATGTATGTATAGTCTAATTAAGCTTTACTCAGTTCAAAGTGTTGGTCTTTCATTAAAATAAAAAAAAATAAAAAATCTTTTTTCATCCATTGTCATATTGCCATATTCGTGCCCATAAATATAAACCAAATTGAAGGAAACATATTGTCTGTGTGTCGAAGCAAATGAAGTTTGCAAAACAGTAGCAACAAATAATTGGTACCATTTCGGAGTTTTCAAGAATAATACTACAGCAACTAGATAAATATCAAGGCTAACCAAATCCAGCTAATTTTCCAAATGTTTGCTTTAGAGAGTCATGGAAACATTATCTTTAAATAGATCAATTTCCTTTAAAACGAAATATGGAAAATATAGTTGGCTGAAAGCTCAAAATCATGAAAGTTTAGTCCAAGATTTCTATTTTTTTTTCCATTTTTTGATAATGTTTAATGTCATTGTCATGGTCACATGAGATACTTATTAGGATAAGATTAGAAATGATGTTTGATTGATAACTCCTGAGAAGTACGTACTAGCATAAGATTAGGATCAATATAATCTAAGCCCCAACAGTGACAAGTCAAAATAATAGATTGCAAAGTTAAATCAAATAGGAAAGCAAGTTTTGTTTTTTGCATTTAAGGCAAATCATACCAGTTGGAAAATGGACAAAAGGTTATTTCCTTCTCGAATTTGGTTTCTAGTATTAGAATATATGGCCTCAAGAGTTGTTATCAAATTGATGTGTACGTACAATCATTTTAGTGGGTTTTGTTAAGTACTATTTTAGTATTTTGTGTCGTTTACTTGGCTTGGAAAATGGCGTGTCCGCGTTATATATGGTTGGTACAATGTCCTTTATAAGAGAAACACGTATCCTTATATTAGCTTCAAATTATGCCCTTTAAGGCTAATCCAGGCTTGCACGTCACGGTAATATAATGTATATAGCCCCCCTATTCATAAATTGTTGAAATGAAAATCAAGCAAAAAGAAGAAATCTTTTTCGTTGCCGTTTATGTGTGGATTCCAAAAACACTTTTTTCGGAAGACTAGTTTAATTTTGAAATGATAACGCAAAAGGGATTTGCTTTGCTTACATTATTGTGCGATGTGTTTGTTGAAAAAACTGGAGTATTTTGAAATGAAAAAGGGAAATAGTAGAAAATAGGCCAATATAAAAAGCTTAAGAAAGTATATAGGCTAATTTTTAGTTATAAAAATTAATAGGTCATAATTTGTCAAGTTATGGTTCATAACCATATAAGTTATGAACAAACTTGTCAAGTTATAGTTCATAGTCAGACAAGTTATGGACAATTATGGACAATAACTTGTCAAGTTATGGTTCATAACCAGACAAGTTATTGACAAAAATAATAATTTAACATATTTATTAACTTATGTAAATTATTGATATATTAATTTTAATTTATCTCAAATCTTGACATATTTTCTTCTTTCTTCCGATGAAAAATGGCTATGTTTAGAAGTTGGAACCCTGCTTTCAAAAGGGTGCCGAAAAAAAATTCAGATATTTTTAGACGGGTGAAATAATTGAAGAAGAATCAACTATAGTTTTTGTCTACTTTCATACCCTTCCGTACGTATAGTCAGACTTGTGGGGTCATGACTTCTTTGATTACTAACTTGGTCTTGGTTGTTACTCGTCCCTTAATGTCTAAATTCTAGAAGATCTAGATAGTTAATTAGCTGATAAAATTCTCACTGGTTAATTTATATCTACAACACATAAAAATGGATAGTTTGTTACATAGTTCTTTTATTCACTCTTCTTATTTAATTTCAACCAAAAACATCCACTATCATAATTTATTATTTAAAATTTTGATTAAATTATTTTATCTTTTTGTATAAAGACACGACACTAGAATAAGCTTAACAAAATAGAGAGAGCCCCCCTTTTTTTTTAAAAAGAAATAAAAAAAAAAAAAAAAACAAACCCATCTAGGCAGCATTGTGGAATATAGAGAAGCACGACACACATCTTTCACACCAAACATGTAGTGAAAATGACAAGGTAGTTTGTCTTTAAACGGCTATGATTAAGTAGCACTCTTTTTCGTTGTGGGTGACGATGTAAATGACCCTACAAGTTTGATATTGGATGATTTAGTGCCGAAATTCACATCTATTACTGGAAACAATGCGCGCGCGGTGTGTGTTTCGTGGCCTTAATTTTTAGTGGAGTTGTGTCGGCGTAATATACGAGCCAAGTGTTCTGCAATCCGCCGATCACAACTAGCAGGCAAAATTTTCTAATCATGAGGACGGTGTTTGGTGCCTTCTTTTTCTTTTGATAGTTCATTAATAAGAACTTATAACATGTTACATGACAAAATTTTACGTATGTACATTTATTGTTGTTGTTGTCACTAGTTTTACCTCCTCTTTACATTTTATTTTACATCTTATCCTATTTTGTATGTATAAAAAACATGGATATCCACTTGGTTTCATCCCTGAAATTTTCTGTCCCCGTTTCATCATCCGATTTTTCCGGCCTCTTTCTCACGTTTCATGCGCACTTTGTTCAAATTTTGCCCTTGTTCTGTTGTTTATCATTCAACCCATTTGGGGAATCAACTTATCAGATTCTTTCCTAACTCTTTTGTGCCCTCATCTTCTCAATTCATCCCCTTGTGTGTAGATTTTCGATCTTTCATGTCATTTGTGCCATTGCTTCGCCACATCTTCCCTTTGTTCGTCCACATTTCTGGTTTAATTTCCTCTGTTGGTAGTGTCAGTTTCTAAATGTTAAATTTAATTAGAATCACATTAATTAAAAAAAATATACAGAACAAACAGTTTCTGATACGGATATAGAAAATAGATAACTATTGATATAGTTCATTTTATTATCTTGTTTGGATGATAACTTTTATTTGTATTGATTTCAGTCATAATTTTTTATTCAACAATTTGCTTGGATAACATCTCTCCGGATCTTGTTTTGTAACCAAATAGAGCCAATTTCATAAATGGTTATGCCAATTTCATAATTAGATTATTTAAAATAAAAAATGAAAATTTATTTAGCTGGAAATCTAATAATATCATAAAAGTTCTTACTGTTTTTTGTGTAGATGAATTACAATCAGATGTTTTGAACTATAATCATATTTACTCGGTATAAACCATATAAAACAATTAAGTGAATTACAATTCGTAGTCTTTCTTGTGCTACAATTACAATCCAAAGTTTTTCTTGTGGTATAATTACAATTCCAACTCTTTCTTGTATCACAATTCAAACTCTCTTTCGTATATCATAACACTACAAGAAAAAAGGCTTTTTGCGATGACTTTTTGTCGTTGCAAAAACACGAGTGTCATCGCAAATAACAGTTTTTACGATGACGTGACGTCGCAGATATGTCACCGCAAATAATTCATCGCAATCCAAACTCTCACAATTAAGTGAATTACAAT